ACTTTTGAAAGATGCTGGAACTGTTAAGACTGTGGGGATTCTTAGGACTGAATGCGTTTTGCATTGTGAGATGGATGTGAAACTTTCATGGGGGGAAGGGGTTGAATGGTATGGATCGGATAGGAAGTATCCACCAAAGACGTGTGTGTCGAAGGCTTGATCCCCAATGCAGCGGTGTGCAGAGGTGTGGCTTTCAGGAAGTGACTGGATCTTGAGGGCTGTGATGTCATCAGTGGGTCAATCCATTGATGGCTGAATGGACAACCAGGAGGTAACGGAAACTATAAGCCCATGTGGGACTGTCACTGAGGGTGTGGCCTTGGGGAATAGTTTGTCCCTTAACCCTTCTTTCTTTTCTCTCTCTTCCTCTGTCCCTTCTCCTCAACCTCCTCATTCTCCTATTCTCCTCCTCCTCTTCCTCCTCCTCTTCCTCCTCTTCCTCCTCCTCTTCCTCCTCTTCCTCCTCCTCCTCCTCCTCTTCCTCCTCCTCCTCCCTTTCCTCCTCCCTTTCCTCCTCCTCCTCCTTCTCTTTCTCCTTTCTTTTCTTCTCTGCTTCTTAATTGCCACAGCATCACCTTTCTTGTGCTTATCCTTCTGAAATGACGTTCTCCCTCACCTCAGGCTCAGAACAATGGAGTCAGCACACCTTCTACTGAAACTTCTGAAAACATTAAGCCAAAATAAATCTTTCCTCGTTTAAGGTGTTTGTGTTGTGTAATTTGGTCACAGCCATAAAAACATGCCTATAACACAAAGCATCAGTAATCAAAACAGCTGGTTCCAATAATAAAAGCATACATATAGACCAATGGAACAGGAAGAGAGCCCAGAAATAAGCCAGTATATATAAAGTTAAATGGACTTTGATAAGGAGCCCTGACTACCTAATTGAAAAAGAATTGTCTCTTCAACAAACAGCTTTAGGAAAACTGTATATCTGCTGGTAAGGATATTTGCATCCTTATCTTACACCATAGGCAAAATTCAAACCAAGATTGAATAAAGATATAAACCTGAGACATGATAATGTGAAACTCCTAGAAGAAAATATAGAAGAAAAATTTCATAATATTCATTGTGGTAATAATTTCTTGGGTATTAAAAGACACAGGTAACCAAAACAAAGATAGAAAAGTGGGACTACATCAAATTAAGAAGCTATTGCAGTAGAAAAGGAAGCAATCTAAAGAGTGACATGTAACCTGTGGAATGGTCAGAAATATGTGCAATGGATATGTCTGATTATAATGTCCAAAATATGTAAGAAACTGCAAATCAAAAGCAAATCTCTAAATAAACTGATTTTAAAAATGAACAAAGACTTGAATACATATTTCTCCAAGAAATAGATGTTTCTACAGTTAGCCAACAGTGTATGAAAATATGTTCAACATTATTGATTATCAGGGAAATGCAAATCAAAACCGCAATGATGAATGTCTTTGAGCCTGTTAGGATGATCTTTATCAATTAAAAAAAATGCACCAAATATTGGAGAGGATATGGAAAAATTCAAACCTTTATTCACTGTTGGTAGGAATGTAAAATAATATAGCCATTCCTAAAATTAATATGAATGTTTCTCAAAAAATATTAGAATTACCATATGCTCTAGCAATCCCTCTTCAGAGTATTTATCCAAGAACCATGAAGAGATTTTTTGCTCCCATGTTAATTGTGACATTATTCATAACAGCCAAGAGATAGAAACAACATAAATATCTATTGACATAAGCAATAAAGAAAGTGTGTACCTACAATGGAATATTATTTAGCCTTGAAAAAGAAGAACAATATGTCAGATGCTACAGCAGGTGAGCCTAGTGGACATTATGCTAAGTGAAGTATACAGAAAACAAACACTGCATGACTTTACTTATAAGAGGCATTTAAAGTTGTCACACTCATAGTAGCTGAAAGCAGGGTGGTGATTGCCATAGAGGGAGAAGGAAAAATGGGCAGTTGCTTGGAATGAATACAGAGTCTCCATCATGTAAAATGAAAATATCAAGAGACTTGTTCAATTTCATATAATTAACAATACTGTATTCTACAGTTCAAAATCTGTTAAGAGGAGAGAGTTCATATTGGATGTACTACCAAAATAAAAACAAATATGCTTCACTTTATTTATTTTTAAATTTGTCTGTTGCCTTTAACACAAGAACTTATTTATTTATTTATTTGTTTATTTTTATGTGGTGCTGAGGCTCAAACCTAGGGCCTCACATATGCTAGTGAAGCACTCTACCACTGAGCTACAGCCCCAGTGCAATATGCTTCACTTTAGTATGACTAGTGATACACACAAATCTCGAACATCAGCTGACATACCCTGAGCACTTAAAATTCTGCTTGTACTCTTTTTACTTGGCATTTGATTCTTGGCTATACCTCAAGAATTCTGGCTCAAGTTTTCTACTTACAACACACTTTGTAATCACCCAGAATCCCACAGTTTCTTGACAGACCCTGGCTGTATTCACCTTGAGAGAAATATTCTATCACCTTTAGGTTTAGTGTATCTATATTTATTGAATCACCAAAGTTGACCGAATAACATACCAGTCAAGGGAGATGTAAGAAGACAAACATGGATCCTTTCCAAAGGTAATTTACCCTCCTGTGAAACTTGACATCAGTTCCTAGTCTCAGGAAATAACAGGGTTAGAAGACAGCAGAGAGAGGGGGGAGGGGGCAGAGGAAAGAGCAGAGTTGGAATAGGAAACACTTGACTTCAAGTAATGAAATTCCATTCAATTGCCTCTAAACAGTTTTTAACACACATTATGATGAAGCTGAGCCGATAGCTTTAGGGAAAGCAAGAGGCAGGATGGTCCCAGAGTTTAAGCAGGAGTTTCCAGACCTGGAACTTAACATTTGGCCAAAAAAAAAATATGACTCAGCTTGATGCTTCTGGGCTTATTCCCACCCACTTTTCTTGGTGTTCTCATTTTAAAACTTGAAAGTGCAAACATGTTGACTCACTTTGAGTTTGGTGTCTACCCTTAGGCCAAATAATCTAAGACTTGAGCTGGGAGATGAAGCCATTACAGCATTGACTTCTTGGGCTGGAAGTGCAGGGACATTCATCAAAGAGTGTCGTTCAGAGATTAGAAGCAAACCTTGCCTGCTATCTACTGTGAGTCAGTTCCCCACCATGGCTGTTAAGCTTGAAGATTGTTTATCTGATTGCATTATTTGTCATCTATTTATTCAGTCGAGCATTGACTTGGGCACCTCCTTTATGCCCCTCACTGAACTTTATGCCCCTCTTTTTTGAGGGATAAATACATGAAAAAATGTGCCAGTTAGTGGAAAGAACATTCTTTATTTATAAAGCTAAGCTAAACGTGGAAGTTTTAAAATAATGTGTTCTGGCAATTCAAAAAGAGGGTGGAGGAAGACATCAGGAAAAATAGTATTTAAACTGAATTATGAAATTAGATAAAGACTTCCTGAAGCACAGAGGAGACTGGCAGGAAGGGCATGTTCTAAGCAGACATGATGGGAACAAAACTGCAAAGGCAGATAGAACGGTAGCCGGTGAAGTTAACTTCGAGAAGTCTCCGCTAGAAGACCATTTTGCCAATGACACAGAAAAAGCAGCAGTGAAAATAAGAACTAAGGATGCACCAAAGAGATAGTCCAGAACAAAATGCCCAGAATTAAGCAGGTAACAAATATCATGTAAGAAGTAACTAAGAAAATAAAATCTGAGTTTGAATGCACCAAGGAATCCTAGAAATTTAAGGAAACACTTGCATCTAATGTTAGCTCCTTAATTTTTGTAGGTAAATAGTTTGATGTTCCAAAAGGATGAGGTCTAACCCCATTGCCCACAAGTAGTCAAAGTAGATCTGCATCAAGACGAGGGATCTAAATTCACTAATTCCAAGCTTCCTAAAAAAACTGAAGCCCAAGTATCTAAACAGCAATGTAATTCATTATTCATCGCAGCCTTTCTTTCTGCAAGTATTTTTTTTTTCTAATTTTGTGGTGCTAGTGATGGAACTCAGAGCCTGACACACTGTGAGGCCTCTGTTCCACACTGAGCTACATCCCCTGCCTCATCTCCTGCCTTCTTCTTCCTATGTTCTATGGTCTGTCCAAACAGAACACTTACATCACTCTGTATGTGTGCAATGACTTTGGCTTCACATCCATGGATATATTATTTCCATCAGTCACTCTGTGCTCCCACAAAAATACGACTGCTTGTCTATAATATTGTCCAGTCCTGAAAGCCCAGCCACAGTGCTGCCTTTTTAAAGAACTCACCTAAAATTTCCCTACCACTCCACTCCAGTTAGAAATCATCTTTTTCCATGTTGCCACTGGACTCTGTGACTCCCTTGATATCTATCAGGTTGCATATTATGCTGAAGTTATACAAGTATGTAATATCATGTAATAACCTAAGATCTTCTCAAGTACAGAGACCTAGTATATTCACACCCAGTATTTCCCATAGCATCAGCTCCAAACTTGTCAAAAGGTAGATGCTAAACCAATATCTCTCAGGTACACAAATAAATACTTTCCCATAAAATGGTGGGGGTTGGGGAGCTGGGAGAACTTTCTTTGCTTTTCTTAACGCTTGTTTAGTTGGGGCCTAATTAACATTTAAATATCTCAATTTTCTCTACTCTGCTACTAGGATCAGAGTGGGAGCTTTCATATCTAGCGTAACCATCCTTTTTGCAACGCAACTTCTCGTTTCAGAAAGACATTGCAAAGGTAGATTTATCTTAAAAGGTTTACTACATCAGTCATCGTGTTTTTCAACTTTTTATCGCTAAGCAATTTCTTTTCTTGACATGCCTACAGAGGAAAGGATAATATATCTCCCAGGCAACCAGTCATTTACATAGCTCAGATTATTAAAATAAACCTAGGGTTTATCCTGTGTATAAAAAAGTAGGTTTAAATTGCCCTGCAGATTGATATAAACTCATGGATAGTGTCTGGGTCTTTATTCCAACAATGATTTTACTTACTTGCTTGCTTGTCCTGGCTTCAAATTCTTGGGGTTGGGCATCCATTTGGCAACTAGAAATGAGGAGAAAAAAATGTTTTAGCGACTCATCTCTCTGACGTTGATGAGAACAAACCTAGAATTTATCTTATGTATTTAAAAACAGGTTTAAATTGTTATTTGACACATCTACAGTCGTACATAACAGGTGCGCTTCTCTTCCTATGATGATCTTACCTCTGGGCTTACTCTTTCTCAAAATCTCTTTGGATGGGAAGAGAGGTGAAGACTTTCATTACACCATCACCAATGAGGCTGAAATGTTTCATTCCTTTAAATTCACATGGTGGGGGAACTGATCCATTGGTTTTAGTTCCTTTCTCATAGCAGACTTTGAAAGAGGAAAGGGCCTGAATAAGATAGAAGAAGAAAAATAGGTCCTATGAGTGGAGATAAGGAGGATACTCAGAGTTGTTCATACTTTCATTAAAATATATATATATATATATATATATATATATATATATATATATATATATATATATATATATATATCTTGGAGACAAAATTAGTGATTTTTCCCTTAAAACATCTTCCACATCTATTCAATTTTCTTAGGAATGGCATCATTAGAATAATACCATCATGAAGCTCCTATAAAAGCCAGAAATCTGGGTGGTATTCTCAACAGGATACTTCCTGGCTACCCACATTCTTTCTATTGTGTTACAAATACCTCTGAGCACTCATACTTTCTTCCCTCTAATACCATATCCACCACTGAAGTGACAATCAGTCACTTCCCATCTAAGTTAAAACCTACAGGGATCCAGAAGAATGAATGGTCCAGGGACAGGGAAGAGTAAATGCAAAAGCCCTAAAGACGGGTGTTCTACTAAGGAGCAGCAATTAGTTTGTGTGTCTAGAATATCACAAGTGATGGAGAGGGCTACAACCTTAAATCAGGGAGGCCATCATGGCAAAGGGCAGATGATGAAGAACTTGATAGGCCAAGATAAGGCCTTTGGAATGTAGTTTAAATAAGATGAGAATCCCCTAAAGGAATTTGATGACAAAAATCACTGAACATCTATACATGTTGGGAAGACCACTCTGTCTGCTATGTAGGGTTCTGTAGGAGGTATTAAGGGTGATAGAGGAAAGACCAGTTATGAGTCCATTGAGATATGTCAGGGAGAAGATAAGTGTGGCCTGGACTATAGTGGTCACAGTGGAGAGTTCAAAGAGAGATCAGACCTTGGATCTATCTTGAAGGTGCAGTAGACAGGCTAGGTTGATGTACGGCATGTACGCTGAGAGGGGGAAAGAGCATCCAGAAGTGACCAAGAGTATTCAACCTCAGAAACTAGGAGGTTGACATTACCAGTCACTGGGACTGTTAAGAAATCAGGGGAAGATCAGAGTTGGGTCTGGGGTACTGTTACTCTCATTGCTTATATTTAGGACAATGGAGTGCAGTGGGAATCTAAAGATCTCTTTGGGTTTTGTCAAGTTTTAAATCCCAACTAATCTGCTTTGAATAATGTTCTGTTATGAAAAATTTAATGTGGCCAATAAAATACAGCAGCCCAGAATTTGGAGACTTCTATGGAACTGAAGATACACACATTATCAGTCCACAGACCATATTTATCATGAGGACATTGGAGAAGACACCCTCCAGGATCAGTAGACAGACACACAGAAGAAAAGAGCTCTGGGGTCTAAGCTTTAGGGCAAACCACTATTTGAATGTCAGAACAATGTGGAGAAACTAGCAGGGAGAACTCAGGAGAAAGAATGAAGTAAAAAGAAAATCAAGAGTGGTGATCGCTACTAAATTAAAATGAGCCCACAATAGCAATGCCCTATAGTGCTCCTTGATTTCAATTTTTTATTCTCCCTTTTATATGCTTTTGTGTCACCTGGGCTAAAGGCCTGTTCTCTCCTATCTGGGTGTCTCTACACACCAGACACCCAGGCTCTCTGAATTTTTGTTGAATCCTTCCAACGGGAAGCAATAAAAGGAGAATAGAGGGTGATAGAAAGGAAGGAGACAGCTGGACACGATGGTGCACACCCATAATCCTAGTGGCTCAGGAGGCTGAGGCAGGAGGATCATGAATTCAAAGTCAGCCTCAGCAACAGTGAGGTGTTAAGCAACTCAGTGAGACCCTGTCACTAAATAAAATACAAAATAGGGCTGGGGATGTGGCTCAGCAGTTGAATGCCCCCGAGTTCAATCCCTGATGCACCACCACCACTCCAAAAATGGAAAAGACACATTCTATTCTGATTGTGGAAACAATTTAAGCAGGAGTTGCAGTATCAGAAGGGAAATTATGTACAACGTCACATGAGAGCTGACCGTGGCCTTGTAAGTGCAGGTTTCAGAAATTCAATAGTAGGAGAGTCATTGCATCCCAGGGCCTGCAACATAGTAGTCATAAATACTTACTTTGTAAATAAGCAAATGTGTACAGGAGAAAAGACCAAATCTTTCTTCTTCATTGCTTCTTAGATCCAATTAAGGATCATTAAGCTCTATCATTCTGACATGTTAGTTCTCTCACATCTGGCCTCTCTCCATTGCCAACATCATCACCCAGGTTTTTATACCAAGGACCTAAATGTTCTCTGCTTATTGTGTATTGTACCTATAGCAATCTTATCATCACAGCTTCTCCTCAAAGACCTCCAAAAGCCAATGAAAATCCGCCAAAGCTAATGTTTTATCACCTACAATCAACTTCCTGTTTTATATTTTAATTAACTACTAATAATAGCCAATATTTTCATGTCGGAACTCCACAGAGCTACTCTTCACAACAACAGATGATCTTAAGCCCATGGAATTAGAATCCTAAACAAAACTATCTGCAGAACCCACTAGGCCCTACCTGACATTCATGAAACATCTGCATTTTCGGTTCCCTGCTCAGAAAGCAGTCCTCTTTCTCAAGTGGCAGGAATGAAAAGACTGCTCAATATTTCCCTAAGGTGGATTAACCCTAAACCAATCCAGAACAAACTTTTTCTTCGTGTAGATTTACATTGCTTCTTAATCACTTGATTCCATTGAGATGCTGTCGATTTTTTCTCTCCCAAACAAATAGCTCTGTTTAGTTAGCCTCTGAGGTATGTGTGGCCTACTTGAATGCCAAAGAAGAACAGGCTGAAAGAATCTGAGATCCTGCAGATCTCCTCCCAGCACTCCCTAAAGCCAGGAAATGATTTCTTTGCTTTGTTAGTTATGCTAGTAGAGTGTATTTCTAATGCCTCTTCTCTTCATTCATGAGTGTTTAAACATTTTAATGAATATGTTATTTACTGTAATAAAGTCAGAGTCTGCTCTTAAATTAATAGAGCAGTGTAACCAGAAATCCCATCACACCAATTTATCCATGCTCTGTATTGCTGAGTTTCAAACACGTGATCCCCGGCCATACAAATTCTCTGCTACTCTGTAGACAGTGCATAATTTCTCTTTAGCTGCATAGGAGCATCAAATCCAAGTTAATATGTGTCTATGTGTTTGCATGTTTGCGTGTATTTAGCTGCAGCGTGGTGATTTAATAACTCTTGGAGATAAAAAGCTAAGCTTCCAATCCTGATTTCACTACTTTAGCCAATTACACTCTCTTTAAGTTAGTTTTGTCCTCTGAAGCATGAGGGTAATAATAGTGGCCCCCCACTACATTAGGATGTTCAACACAAAGCACGGGAGATTATACACAAAACATTATGCTTGAAGCATTGAGGCTCTGTAAATATTAGCTATGAATATTATCAAATATAAGAGCTGACCATGGTCCTCACTAGCCAACAACAAACTTTTTGAAATGTAGAAAAAGAAGCACCTATATCTGGAGGGGAAGCAACTCTGTGGCTAGAATAGAGTGTAAACTGGATTTTGTCCCATAGTTACCCACTTGGCTACAAATGCCTGTGCAGAACAAAACATGCCCAGTCAGATGTGCTGGCTCTGGGGTTTATGTTGTCTTCCTACCAACCTCAATCATTCATGTTCCTTATTGTTCCCTTTCCTTCACCAGTTTAATGATTTGGGGAATGAATCTGGATTCACATGACCAATGGACAATAATCTCAAGAAGAGAAAGATTTCTATTTTAAGTTAGGGGGTCTCCAAAGGCAGGACTTTTCTTTACAATCTCTAATTCTTGAACACCTGGGCCTGAATCTCCCCTATAAACCAAACTCAAAAAAAAAAAAAAAAAAGCCACTAAGTGACTGAACAAATTAATTGATTAAAGAAAGTGAAGGCTACTTTATTGATTTAAAATTCAAGTGAGGCTAGAATTGATACAATCTGTCAGCAAGAACTTGAAACATTTCTTAATACCATGGCAACACAGATATTTAAAATAGATCCATAGAATCATGCAGTATCATAAAAGTCACCATCTGATAAGCACATGTAATTGAGGAGGAGGAACCAAATCATATGGAAAATTACGTTCTTAAGCAGACATTCACTTCAACCCAGGAATTGATCCTAACTTAGGGAACAATTTCTAGATTACATTTTTTTTTTTCAGAGCAGTCTTGCTGTTTCTTAGTCAAGCCTGATTTCATAACTACATGGCAAATCTAGGACAATCGAGGATATAAAAATGTCCAAAACATTGACATCTTCCTGCTGCTTTGTCACAAAATTTGCTATTGGTTTGAAATGTTAATTGTCGGGTAACTCTGGTAATCCATTGAGGAAATAAACAAAACATCTTCCCCACCATTCCATTATTAAAGCATATATTTCTAAGCCTCTTTACCGCTCACAAAAAGTGTTGCAAGAACCAAACATAAATTCAGAACCATAGTATTGGCAAAGTCAACCAAACACAGCGGTACAAAACACAGCAGTATAAGATGCTTAGTGTTAGTAACACTATGTTCAGTCACACACAGTCATGCTTACACACGATCTGAGCGTAAAGGCACAGTTGGTCTCGTATAAAGGTAGCAAACGGCAGGTCCATTAGCTTGTGTCACAACCTGAAGAATACCCAAATACCCACAGCAATCTCATTTTTATAAAGCACAATCTAACCAACCCTGACTGTTCTATTAGAAACTGTAAGTTATCTCCACATCCCACGCCTGGCATTCCTGACCTTCCTTATCTGGTCTACATTTTATTTTAGCAAAACATCCATTACTTTCTGTCACATGATAAGATTTAATGTGCATTATGCCACCTATCTGTGGTGTGTCCCCACTCTTACACAAACTGGGTTGGAATAGAAGCCCATGTACACAGGGACAGAATGTGTGTATTTTGTTTCACTGATATAGGCCAAAAACTTAGAACTGTTCCAAAGACATATGAAGACTCTCAATAAATATGACTGGACTTATTATTATCTCTTT